TCTCTCTCTCTCTCTCTCTCTCTCTCTCTCTCTCTCTCTCTCTCTCACCCCCTCTCTCTCTCTCTCTCCTGCAGGCGAACGCGACGGGGAGGAGTGCTAAGACGGTGCGGGAATACCTGGAGAAGCACTACAATGAGGAGGTGGCGGCAAGCGAGGCGGAGACGGTCAAGCTGGCGGTCAAGGCTCTGCTGGAGGTCGTGCAGTCGGGAGGCAAGAACATCGAGCTGGCGACGATGAAGCGAGGCGAGGCGCTGAAGGTACGTGTGCGTGCGTGCGCGTGAGTGAATGCGTGCGCGTGGGTGTGCGTGCGTGTGTGTGCGTGAGTGCCTGCGTGTTGGCGTGCGTGCGCATGTGTGAGCTTGCGTGCGTGCATGCATGTGTGCGTGCACGCACGCATCTCTTTTCCCCTGTCTCTCTCTCTCTCTTTGCCTCTGTCTCCCGCTCTTTCTCCCTCTCTGTTTCTCTGTCTCCCTCTGTCTCTCTCTCTCTTTCTCTCTCTGTCCCTCTCTCTCTCTCTGTGATTAAGATGTCGATTAAGATTTGACTGCAGTGTTTTGTTTCTCTCCCGCAGATGCTAGAACCGGAAGAGATTGAGAAGGTGGTAGCGATCATAGAGAAGGAGAAGGAGGAGGAGGCAGAGAAGAAGAAACAGAAGAAGTAGGAGTTTTGCCACCGCCGCTGCTGCTGTTTACTTCTAGATGGCAGACGTTTCATATGGGTTCCAATAATTATAAGAGACCCGGTAAGAGGTTTCTTTTAAGGTGCAGTCTCAAACTGCAGTATCCACACTGCAAGTGTTTTGAACTGCAGTCTCAAGAACTTTTTCTCCGAGTGATGATATTTGCTAGCAGTGAAAAGGAGGGCGAGGATGGAGAGAGAGAGAGAGAGGGGGGGAGAGAGAGAAAGAAAGAAAGAGAGAGAGAGAGAGAGAGAGAGAAAGAGCGGGAGAGAGAGAGAGAGAAAGAGTGAGAGAGGGGGAAGAGAGAGAGAGAGCGAGAGAGGGGAGAGAGAAAGAGAGACGGAGCGAGAGAAACAGCAGGGATGAAAAAGAAATAGTAGTAGCACTGCTGCTGATGTCTCTAGACCTGTTTCACAGACGTGATATTACCAAATATTTAAAAAAATGCTTGGTTCCGATATATTAAATATGAAGAAACTGACCTACGGTCCAACAAGTATCATGTTATGATGCTAGTAATAATAATAAAAAAATGGCCATGCTATGTTGCATGTGTTTCAGTGTTTCTATATATAATGACCGTGTTTTATTCATGTAATCTCAAAATTTGCATCCATTCCATTTGTACAATCAACATTAGTACTGTCTATGTCTCCACCACTAATTGTATATATTAATGCAATTTCTGAGCTTTGCATGGAACCGATTTACAATGTAAATTAAAAATTCAGGATTAAACAATTGATTTACAAGTCGACTATTTATTTTATTTATTCAGACAGTTCATTAACTTCATATTATTTTTTCGTTACTCGTTGATCGCATAGCTGTTCTCGTATCTTTACATAGGACCTCCTCAATGTCGTTAATGTTTAATGCCTAAGCACTCCTATCATAATCACTCCTGTGTTAGGACCTACCCCCTCCCACCCTCCACCATCGCTCCTGTTCTAGACCTACCCCGTCCCCATCCTCCCCCATTACTTATGTGTTACACCTCCCCCCACCCCCCGCCTTCGTTGCTCCTGTACGCACCCAGCACTCTGCCCTCCTCTCCTGCTCTCGTTCTCCCCCAGCACTCTGCCCTCCTCCATAATCTACTCCCTCCCACTGCCCCGCCTTCCTCTGGCGTCCCACCCTATCATTACTATCTAGTCCTCCCCCACTCCCTCCCCCGTTACTCTACTCCTCCCCCCCGGCTCCCTCCCCCTGCGCCCCGCCCTCCCCCGTGGCACCCCCACGCCGCGCCGACAACGCTATCTCCTTCACACGCGGCAGCAGAGCTTCGAGTTCCTGCACGAGGGCGCCACCATCCTCCCCGCCGTCGCCGCCGCCGGCGCGCTCTGCCGCCGCACGCCGCACGACGAGCTCCTGACAAGAGAGCAGCACGTCGTGGTCGCCGTCGGCGACGCGCCCGCGCAGCGCGGCGAGCACGGTCGGTACGAGTCGGCCCGGGGCCACCAGGGGGCGCTGAGCGTGCACGTGGTGCAGGAGGAGCGCGGCGAGGTGAAGGGTTGCGGCCGGGTTGGTCTCCTCGCGAAGCTGGTCCGCTAGCGCCATCCGGTGGCCGTACGCCATCTGCCTGTGAACAAAAGAACTGTCGTCGTCAGCGATAGCGGTAACAAACAATGAATGTTCATTTGTTCCTTTTATAAAACGAAATAAACTTTTCATTGTTTCCGTCTATAAACGGAATAAACAAGGAAGAAACAAGGGAACGGCTGTCAGAAACAGAAGAACTGTCGTCGTCAGCGATGGTGGTAACAAACAATGAGTGTTCGTTTGTTACAAACGGAATAGTTGGATACAGAATGTGGAAAATGAGATATCGTATCCAACACAAGATATTAATATTTAATGAAAATGGAATCGTTATTTATGCTGAATGGACATTATATAGAAACCTAATTAACAATTTCATGAAATAGATACTAAACAGATATGAATCAATTATTATATTAAATTAAAACCAAAATAGACATATATACTAACAAGAAATGAAACGGTATAATGCAAAAAAATCAAGTGAAGTGCAAATCATATAAGATTTTTAAATAGAAATAATACTAGATAGAAATTAAATTAAAAATCATAATGAATAAAAATTACATGAAAAAGGTACAACAGATAGAAATAAAAATATATCAAAAAGAAATTAAATTAAAATGTATCCGAAAAAAATTATCATAACTAAATAAAGACCATAATATTAAACGCAACACTATACTACACGGCAATAACAAAAAACGCGACGAAATAAATTCACTAAAAGAAATTAAATGAACAAATATTAGAAAGAAATTACGAAATAACGATCATAACAAATGATAATCAAACACGACGACACTACAATAAACCGCGGCGTCGCAACCAACGTACTTCTCTTTCTTCTTGTCCAGCTTCCGCACGAGAACTTGGCACCGTTCCAACGCCTCGTCAAGCCGCGAGTGAAACCCGTCGAGCTCCGTCCCCGCCACCGCCTCCGCCGCCAGCGCCACCGCGCTCGCTCTCGCGCCCGCGTCGCCGATACCCGACGCCACCTGACGGCAGTTCTCCGGCGTGACCGCGGGGGCGCCACCGTCGTCGGAGGCGAGGTAAGCGATGATGAGGTGCGTGATTTCGGCGCCGGCGGTGCGGATGAGATAGCGGGCGAGCGCGGGGCGGGCGTCCGCTTCCGGGAACGTAGCAACGCCGCGCTCAAACATACGCATGTTTGCTACGAGTCCATTCACCTACAACATAATAATAATGATAATAATAGTAGTAGTAGTAGTAGTAGTAGTAGTAATTATTTCGAGCATGTTCACGAGCAGGCCGTTCACCTGCGATATACACACAATAATAGTAATTAAAATTGCCATATTATTAATAATAATAATAGTCACGCTCGTGTTAGTAATACGGCTAGACGGTCTTACATTAACCACAATAACATCAGCAGTGAAAAACTAACAAACAACATCCACGACAACATCCACAAACAAGCGAGCAGCCGACCGACCTTCTCGCTGAGTTCGTCGTGCGCGCGTCGCCGTGACGACGACCCCGCGGTGAACGTGGCGGCGCGGGCGGCGGCGACCGCGTCGCGGTATCTTCTCGCCAGGGGGCGCCGCAGTCGCTCCGCTATCGCTCGCGTCAGCTCCTCGGGGCAACCCTCCTTCTCCGTCCGCGCGGAGAGAGCCTCCTCCAGCTGGTCCGCGGAGAGGAACTCCGGTTCCTCCTCCGCCGCCGCCGCCTCCCCTCCTCCTCCTCCTCCTCCTCCTCCGTCATCGTCGTCTCCTCCCCGCGCGCCGCCGCGTCCTTTCTTCTTCAGCGACTTCTGCTTCGTCTCCCTCCCCTGATTTCCTCCGCCGCGCGCGCCCCCGACCGCCTTCTGCCTCCTCTCCTCCTTCTTCCCCTGCCGCCCTTCTTTCGCCTCCTCCTTCGGCTTCCTCTCCTCCGCGGGGCGCTTCGTCGCCGCGGCAACCGCCGCCGCGCGCGCGATCTCGTCGTCGAACCCTCTCGCGCACGCCTCCACGAACGCCGCGCTCGCGACCGACCCGTCGTCGCCGACGGTGGCGCCCTCTGCGCGCGCGCCGAGCCGCCGCAGGCAGCGTTCGGCGACGACGTGTGGTATATATACGCGTGGGTGTGCGTGCGTGTGTGTGCGTGAGTGCCTGCGTGTTGGCGTGCGTGCGCATGTGTGAGCTTGCGTGCGTGCATGCATGTGTGCGTGCACGCACGCATCTCTTTTCCCCTGTCTCTCTCTCTCTCTTTGCCTCTGTCTCCCGCTCTTTCTCCCTCTCTGTTTCTCTGTCTCCCTCTGTCTCTCTCTCTCTTTCTCTCTCTGTCCCTCTCTCTCTCTCTGTGATTAAGATGTCGATTAAGATTTGACTGCAGTGTTTTGTTTCTCTCCCGCAGATGCTAGAACCGGAAGAGATTGAGAAGGTGGTAGCGATCATAGAGAAGGAGAAGGAGGAGGAGGCAGAGAAGAAGAAACAGAAGAAGTAGGAGTTTTGCCACCGCCGCTGCTGCTGTTTACTTCTAGATGGCAGACGTTTCATATGGGTTCCAATAATTATAAGAGACCCGGTAAGAGGTTTCTTTTAAGGTGCAGTCTCAAACTGCAGTATCCACACTGCAAGTGTTTTGAACTGCAGTCTCAAGAACTTTTTCTCCGAGTGATGATATTTGCTAGCAGTGAAAAGGAGGGCGAGGATGGAGAGAGAGATCGTCCGCCCATCCGCCGGCCGCCGCCGCCTCCTCCAGCGCCGCCTCGACCTGCTGTTCGAGAGACGCCCCGCAGCAGCACGACGATAAATACAGGAGCGACTCGTCCTTGAGTAAGCGACGGACGTACCCTTCCGGGTCTGCGACGCCGACGCGGGCGAGGGAGTCGTACTCGAGGTAGCCGTTGCGCGCGTACGACGCGCGCACGTGGTCGGCCTGCGCGCGCGCGTACCCGGCGGGAACCCACGCGCCGCCCGCGACGGCGCCCCCTACCTCGCCCGCGCGCGACAGCTCGGCGGCGACGGCCGCGAAGAGACGCTCGCGGAAGCCGTGCCGCGCGACGATGGCGCGCGCCGGCGTGGGACGCGTCGTCCCGGCGAGGGCACCCCGCACGCGAGCGCGCTCCCGCGAGAGGTACGCGTCGGTGAGGATATCGCCGTCGTCGTCGGCGCGTCCGCGGATCCTCGTGCCGAGCCGCGAGGAGATCTCGGCGGAGAGGAAGTCGGAGGGAAGGTCGTAGAGTTTGATGAGGTCGGCGAGACGGACGTAACCAGCATCCTGCAGCTTGTCGTCTATCTCCTCGGCTAGCCGATCGATGTAGGACCTGTGGACGGACGCGCGGGGGGAAGAGAGTTATTATTATTATTATTATTGTTGTTGTTATTATCAGGAACGTATAATGACAAAGGAGTAAGACACCGATTTGGTACTGATTTCACTACATTTATGTCGTACAGGTTCGATGCGAATAACAATACAAATGTATACAAACATGAGCTTCTTTTGTTCACTGGTCCTTATTCTATCTTCCGGTAGTATTACAAACCACGTAGCTTCCTTCGTTTTGACATAATTCGTACTTTTGCACGACATGGTTTTCACGTTAGTTACCGTATTCTGGCGAGGCCAAGCTCTAAATTCGTCCCCACGTGTGTCAAATGTACAATGTGACCCCCAATGTACTCACCCACACCCTCTTCCATACCCTTGCTTTCACCTGTCTATCACCTGACCCTCTCCGACCTCTACATCGTTATCTCACCTGCCTATCACCTGACCTTCTCCCACCTCTACATCGTTATCTCACCTGTCGATCACCTGACCGAGCGTGACCTGCAGGGACGGGTCGACCTTCACCATCTCCGCGACCTTCATCTCGACGTGCCCGTAGTCGACGTTGAGGTCGCGCGCGAGGTCGGCAACCGCGGCGCGACCCCCGCGCGCCGCTAGCTCGTCGCGGACGCCGCGTGCGAGCTCTCGCGGGGTGAGGTACGTGCGCCCGTCGAGCGTGTAGAGGACCTCAAGCAGACGCCGGTCAACGAGCTGCTGAACGATCTGTATGCAGTTACGCTCCGACAACCTGCGGGAGGTGAATGCAGCGACGATGACATCGGTTAATGATGATGATGATGATGATGATGATGATGATGATGAATTTAATAACGTCAAGGTCAATTGACATTATTTATTAATTTCAAAAACAGTCCAAAACATAACCAAACAAAGAAAAAAATATTGCCATTGATATCAGTTGTTGCGCAAAACGGCGTTGATGGAATCACGGGATCCTAATTATATTAAGCACATATGTGGTATGTACGAACAATGCTCTCTCATTATGTCGCAGTTTAAAAAATGTGTTGACATATGCTGCTCTTAGTCTTACTCTTAGATATGAACTAAACTACAGACTACGGGGGTACAGTCTACAGTAAAAGTACTAAAACAACAACAACTTGGCAACAGGTCGAATAACATCATCTTGATTAGCGTGATAGCAACCAATATTTGCAACATTTTATGAGTCGTGTGAATAGAATACATCAGTTTTAGTAACTCTGATATGCCAGTTTACCTTTGCACGGTTCCTTGCAGCTGCGCCTTCTGAAAATCTGCAGCAAGCCGCTTCACTTCTTCCCACTCGGAGGCCGCCATGTTTATAGTTAACGTCATCAATATATTCTCAATAGATGGCGGCACATATCTCCACAATTTTCTGAAGATTAAAATGTCAGCCCCCAGTCAAACTTCGGGTTCTCGTTTCAAGAAGCACAAGTGGGCCCTAGATTACACTTTGAAGTAAGTGCTCGTTTTGTTCTATGTGCCCATTCAACGAAGACTTGTATTTTAAGGAAAGATTCTATGTTTATTCATTCTTGTTTTTCCACCAGCTTCCCCCTTCTCCCCTTCCTGAGTTCCTCATTCTCCACCAGCTTCTCCCTTCTCCCCCTCCTCCTCCACCAGCTCCTTTCTCCCCCTCCTTCTCCCCTTCTTCTTTCTCCACCAGCTTCTTCCTCTCTTCCTCCACCAGCTTCTCCCCTCTTCCTCCACCAGCTTCTCCCCTCTTCCTCCACCAGCTTCTCCCTTCTCCCCTTCCTCATTCTTCACTAGCTTCTCCCTACTCCACCTACTACTACTACTCTTAACTTCCTCCTCCCTGCCCCTCCCTTCCCCCTCCCCTCCCTACACTGCTCCTTCGCTACCCTGTACCAGAACTACGAGAGTGCTGACGATGTTCCACTGATAGGGAATCACTTTCCCCCGGGACTAGTGTTAAGATTAGGGTTAGGGAAATAAGGGTATAATAATATAATAATATAATAATATAGGGAAATAAGTGTACGAAGTGACTAGTGCTGTCACGTAGCGGCACCCTTCATCTACGCCCGAGGAAAAGTGACACCCCCACTGATACGCCCGAAATGCCGATAGACCACGTAGCGCCATCTGGCGGTGGCATTTGCAAGTTAATTTACGACGCTAAACCTGATGTTTACCGCCTATTACTATTACTATTAGCACATCATGCCATTGCCTTAGCTAGGCTTGTCAATCATGACATAAGTCACTCACTCACTCGTAAGTACATGCATCTCAGGGGATTTGTAATCGATTTCATCACCTATAATATCCCGTGAACAGTTACCCTCGACCTAACGCAATTCAAGTCCCATCAATCGGAGCACACTATGTTTACAATCACAGCCTGAGTCTCTGACTGTTTGTCACGGGAGTGTGTCACACGAGACAGGCAGTGCTGCAGAACTTGTTGAAAATGTTCCTATTTTTATCCTTTTTTTTATTATGCCACAAAAACCAATATCTATATTTTTCTGTCCATACCACCGAAATCTTCCAAGCTACAGTACAGAGAGAGACTAGTAAGCGCAGGCAAACATTTTGCGCACAAACCCGCAAATGTTGATTTATATGTTATGTATTATACAATTAATTAATTAATGATAATAATAATAATTAATTAATTATAAATGTTGACGGCTGCTTCAGTATCCGTTATGTTTTATTCAATTACTGTCTGTGTCGATGATTTAGGAAGGCGGATAGACAGTTGCAGCTACAGACGGAGCACCTACCTGTCGGCTATTGCTCGACGGCGCTGGCTCAGGTGCAAGATGCTCACACGGGCACGAGAGATCCGAACCTAGTCGTCAAGGTAGCGCCCTCTATTTATTCATTGGCCGTGGCTACACGTCCGGTTACTGGATACCCAGCTCCCAGGCTAGGCATCCGGTCATATATTTCTTATGTGAATCCAACTATTTTTTTTCAGTAAAAAAGAATAAACAATAAGTTTTTACCATAATATTACTTACCTTTAGGTATTTTATCAAAAAAATTGTGTTTTTGTAACCTTAAATAGTAAATCCAGTAAAATCAACGATTTGAAAGGGGCATGGTCTAATCGTGACGTGGATTTGGGAATCTGTGCTGAGATTTCTAATGGATGACCGGACGCGTAGCCACTGCATATTTTAATATTTAATATATTTATATATTATTTATTTATGTGTGTTATTATGATTTGTATATTTTGTGTTTCTTTATCTATTAATTTCGTTTAATTTCGTTTTACTCTGTCATCACAGAAATCGTGGGACATCGCGCTGGCTCCGATGAAGCAGCTTCCAATGAACCTGTTCATCATGTGGATGAGCGGGAATTCCATCTCCATCTTCCCCATCATGATGGTTGGCATGATGCTGTTCCGACCGTTCAAGGCCCTCTTCACACTACAGAACAGTGAGTCTACCTTACTTCTTGTTTACACTGCAGAACAGTGAGTTTTTCTTACTTCTTGTTTACACTGTGGAATAGTGAGTCTACCTTACGATTTAACCTCGTTTACATGGGGAAATAGTAAGTGTATTGTTAAGGGTTAACCTTCTGTACACTGCAGAATACTGAGTGTAATGTAAAAGTTTAAGCTGGTTTATTCTGGAGAATAGTGAGTGTACTGTTAAGGTTTAACTTTCTTTACACTGTGGAATAGTGAGTGTGCCGTTAAGGTTTAAGCTTTTCCACACTGTAGAGTAGTAGTAAGTGTTAACGTTAAGTTAACGTTTAACCTTAGAGGTCGGTATGCAAACTAACGAGGTCAAATGTGATATTGTGTTAAGAGCATGTGAGCTATGTAAACAGTGCATGTCTTGTGTGAAAGTAAACAGTTTATCATGCACTCCTGACACCGCATTTGTATGTAGGTAAGGAATATTGGTGAGGAGAGGTGGACTCAGTTAGTACTTACTACTTACTCTTGCTTACAGTAGTACATTAATTCGGTTTCTGTTGGAAATTTCACTGATTTTTCTCTTGTCGTTGCCATTTTCTAGCTTTCAAGATGATAGAAGGCAGCCAAGCAATCATACAGCGAATGGTTTACTTCCTAGGAAATGTCCTCGGTATAGGGCTGGCCTTGTACAAGTGTCAGTCCATGGGTCTGTTGCCAACACATTCTTCTGATTGGTTAGCATTTGTGCAACCTCAACAGGTATGTTGTTGCGTGTGTGTGCGTACATGCGTGCCTGGGTGCGTGTGTGCGCGTTTGTGTGTGCATGTGTGTGCACGTGGGCATGTGTGTGAGAGAGAAAGAGAGAGAGAGAGAGAGAGTGATACTAGAGATAGAATCAGCTAAGTACTCCTTCCTTAGGAAGAACCTACTTCGGTAGCAACGTCTAATTCAACCGTTCAAATTCAGCAGTTCGAGTTTGATCGTGCAGTAGCGTTTACGTTCTCGTCAACGTCTCTCTTTCCACTGCAGAGACTGGAATACTCCGGCGGCGGAATACCTCTGTCGTAGCCACACCCACCTCCATCCTTGGTACATGACACACAGTTCCACCGCAGGCAGGACACTGACAGGACCGTCCGTGACACTGGACTTAACTTTTTTTGTACACGAGTCATCACGTCGGGTCGGAACGATCGATGGAGGAAGTGGAATCCGTCGGATTTCTCGGTCGTAGATAGGAATCGACGCGCCCATGACCTTTGACCTTTCCGCTCGCCTCGGTTCTCTCGCCGGAGTTGGCTTCGTCGAGACGAATGCTCTGATGTTTCGTCGCGCGCGCGCGCGGTAGTTTTGGGTGGGAAGCGATTGTTGCGTCGCGAGCGGGAGTGTAGCAGTCAGCGTCTCGTTGTCACGGTAACGCACGATCATATATACTATATATACATACATATATATCAAGAGCGGATAATACCTAGAGTGTACAACGGAAAAACGGGAAAATAGTGCTATTTCACGACTACATTATTCTACTTTGCCTGCGAGTCTAGAATAATTTCATGGTATTGCATTAAGCAGAATTCTTTGCTCTCTAAAACAAGACCAACCGCTTGTCATTACGATACTCCAGGCGAGAGATATCGGGCTTCTAAACCTCCCTACCCACATGCCGAAACGGCCACCCTCGAATCCACTTCTGCCACCACCTAATCACGCCGGGTAAGCATTTTGGCTATCGGTTCCGTCAGCCGACTTGGAGCGGCTGTAATTGATGTCAATGCCCCAAATTGTGGAACTTACTACACTTGAGTAACTGACGGGCTGCGTTGTAAAAACTCTGATGAGCCGGCCTCATCATGACGGGCGTTACGCACGTGCTAGGAAAGATAATGGAAGATAAGGGCAAGGCGATGCCCCCGAATGTCACCTATGATAACCGTAAGCGCCGTCCATATCATAAACTTTATCGGCGGAAAAACCGAACTTTCACTGAAGACAACGCTTGAGCCGGCGTGTAGGCATGGTGTCAGAAGTGATTCGAGGTGGCGTTTTGGCATGGTGAGGAGGAGCGTTTAGGAGGCCGATATCCCCCCCGCCTTAGGAGTCATCGTTATTGACCCAAGCGGTTGGTCTTGTTTTAGAGAGCAAAGAATTCTGCTTAATGCAATACCATGAAATTATTCTAGACTCGCAGGCAAAGTAGAATAATGTAGTCGTGAAATAGCACTATTTTCCCGTTTTTCCGTTGTACACTCTAGGTATTATCCGCTCTTGATATATATATATATATACACTATTGAGAAGAGCAATAAGCAATGAAACAAATGATCCGATTTCACTCGGAAAATGGTTGACGTTCGAAAATGGCAAAAAAACGCTTGCCCGTCAGAAAAAAATGATCTTATGTACCATGAATTTTTGGATCGGCTATGCGGCGGTGTTGACAATCGTTGTAAATGTTATGCCATTGTATTTGTAGTGCGTATAAGGTGACAGCTCTGAAATCTCAGTTTTCGCGACACGAATCTGTGTCGGCAATGGTACGCGCTTTTGTATCGAGTCGAGGTTTGAAATTCAAATCGAGAGACCAATTCCATATAGATGTGCTTAATACGCACACTCAACGTTACATAATAATTTTATGGACCTTTGGTGCCAGTTTTCATTGATCTTGTTCGTTAGATAATAATTTAATGTCAAATTAGCAAAATAATTAACTTATTATAAGAAACAATTTCCACGATAATAATAATAATAATAATAACACTTTATTTGAAAACGTTTGCACAACTAGCTAAATGTATTTGTCTCTCGCTCTTTATTCACGTTTAGCTAATCATCTTTGCGTGTTTGAAATCGATTGCGGACGTCCTTCACTCCACTTTTTGTAGGAAGCACGTTGTGAATGTCGGGGGCCCTGTTGTCGGAAACAAGTTTAATAAATCTTAACATTAGTCTCAACGTTAACCCTTCGTCGACAGAACTTTGTTTCGTAAAGTCGCGAGGAAATTTGGTAGAATTTTTCGCTCTCGTAACTTATGCTGCCGTGTTTCCGTCGACGATCTAAGAGAAAAAGTTTGTATTTAAGACTGAATGCTAAGTTTAACTAGTTTTGTTTCAGACAACGGGCCCATGTTTTCTCTCTTGCTTTCTCTTCATTATCACGGACATTGCTTTGTATTATTCACGCCACGAATCTAACTACAGTCAAACCTCTGTTAGCGACTCCCTCTATAGAACAGCCACCTGTCCATAAGGGTCACCTTTGGCACTTCGCACCTGTCTACAAAGGCCACTTGGTGCATCGCTCGAGAGGGCAGCGATACAGGTACACCACGCATACAACCTGTATATAAATGACATATTTGGCCGTTCCTTTGACTGGCAGTTATGTAACGGAACGACCGCTATAGACTGAAAATCTGTCTACAAAGGTCAATTTGGGCGCATCCCTCGAACGGCCCTAATATGCAGGTTTGACCGCACGCAGCGAGAACGGCCGTTTTCTCGGCATCGTCGTGACCTTGGATATGTCCTTGATCCACAGCACACACACACACACAGCATCCTGTGAGGTGAGCAGTCATTTCATCCTCGTTATACGCTCTGCTACGTCTCGTTATCGACAATCTCTCGCAACTATCCTGCGAAAAAAATGCCAACGGCAAAAAATCGCTCCCTTGCTCCGATCGTCGCAAATTCCGTCTGGTAGGTGGCGCTGAACGCCCCCTCGCGGGCGAATACACTCGACGTGGTTTCTAGTCGAAGTTCAGTCTGGTAGGTGGCGCTAAAAAATCTCTCGCGGGCAAATACGCCTGTCGCGGTTTCGAACCGCAGTGATGTCATCGATTCTAGACTTTCACAAGGTTTATGACTCTGTCATCTACCCTTTTCACATAGATAAGACCCCTGTTGTCTTTTAATCTTTCATTAGGAGTTCATCTCTGTTTTCTTCTACACTTCCACATAGTCTAGGTCTCTTGTATGCCACAGTTTCACACAGTCTTTTAACTCTTTCTCCTCCCACTCTTTCACATAGTCTAGACCTTTTGTTTACTACACTTTCACCAAATCTACGACTCTGTTGTTTTCTACACTTTCACCAGGTTTAGACCTCTATTGTCTTCCACGACGATAGTTCTCTGCGGATATCCATCCAGTTCGACGATCAAATACAGATATTCGTATTTTCCACGATCATTCTGAAAGCACAGAGAGAGAAGAACGGAAAAGTTAGGGTTGAAATCATGCTTGTAAGTTTAAACCCCGCCAACGATTTTACTCCAGGTTATAATATATATATATAAACATCTTTAAAATGGGGCCGACCAAGCTCTCATTCAAACTCTCTTCGAATACTGCCATCGTAACGTTCAAGTGGAATTTGGCGCCCCCTACGGGACGACGTTTTTTACGGAGGCTTTACTCTAAGTTATGCTCATAGGGTCTATGTCCCCCAGGGTACTGCCGGAACGTACCCTGGGTACGGTCCGGTATACCAGAACGTACCCTGGTAACTATCTAGCTGATATTGTTAGGGTTAGAGTTAGGGAGTAGGCGTAGGCGACTCCCTAGACTCGTTAGTGGAGTAGGCGAGGTACGGTCCGGCATATTAGATGGTATTTAGTACCA